AAAGATAGTTGGTGTCCAAAAGATTCTTTGAAGTTAAATGGAGCTCTTGGGGAGCCATTGTGTAGATACATTTTGTATAGAAATAATACCTTCAATTACAATATTGTCTCTTAACCAATTATATATAATAATCATTGTAATGGCTCTTGATTTTTATGTTTTTTCTCGAGTGATTTTAGATCGTTTCCACCTTCCTTCCCTTGAAACTCAATACCCCCAAGCTAATTGAACTTTTCAGCCAGGCTTAATAAGCGTTGAGCTGTGAAAATTTGTCAGTCAGTCTTAGTCATTATGTGGGCGTGGCATGACTGGGCGAATACTTTGGGCCCGATGCCAGGACGCTATGCCTAATGAGCTATAAGTATCTGAAAACTGTCGAGGCATTTGCATGATGATGTGGCAATCTCTGGGCTCTGGGCCGTGGCAAATACTATAGTATCTGGCTGCCACTAAGTATGCAACAAAGTTTTTGACAAACGACGACGATTGTCGACGGGGGCGTCGCTGGCAATTAATTGTCCAACTTGATGAGACAGCACAGCCAACGAAGGCGAAGGCGATCCACGAGTGGCCCACTGAGAAGCGGTATTCATTCCCGTCACGGCCATCACATTACGTCTCATTAACGTTTTGAATGCATCGCGGAAATCATTCATTTCCACCCGAAAACGAAAATGAACACAATTTTGGTCGAACTTTGTGAGCTCTCAAAGTGATTTTTCAGCTCACAAAAAAGCGGCGATGACATCGCAGACTATCCACAGCAAAAAAGAAAAAAGAAAACCAAAAAACAGAGGGAAAAGTCAACCCTCCAAAAAAGGAAGAGAAAGGAAGGAAAAAACGGGAGGAGAAAATGTTTTTCAATTGAATTGATTTTGAATGTGCTCTGTCTGACTTTCGTCTGTGTTTGGTCCATTGAAAAGTGCGTACTTTAGTACAACCAAATACAGCAGAACTCACACCCATTACACAAAAAACAAAAAACATAAACGAAATAAATTTGAATTTGATTATTGTGCATACATTTGGATAAATTTCGAATACTGTCCCGAATCAATTAACTTTACTTCTCAAGTAGAAATTCCTTATTGTATAGTGCCATCTAATATGTAATTTATTTATTTTGTTTTCACTGTAACTGTCTGGCTGTGTCTGCCACGCCTACAGGGGAAGCAGCCACCCCCTGGGGACGGAGTCCCGCCCCCCTTTGACCCCGCAGCCACTCATCTGGGCAGCATCAATGCATTGATTGACTTTTGCGTTGACATTTGCGCTGGGTTATCACTTCTTTGGGGGATTCCCCAGCTGGTTCCCATCCCCCAGCTGCCGCTGCGTCCCCACAATAAACGCATTATGCTGCCATTAGTTGAGTGCCAGAAGAGCCTTCCGCTTGTTTGCCAGCTTCCGTTGTTGTCCTCCGTCTGTCGTGCGTTTGTTCGTTTGTTTATTTGTTTGTTGTTTGCCTTTCACCTAACAATAAAAAATTTCAACTCAATGGGGGATTTTCAGAGGGGAGGGGAACTTGAAAAAGTTTCCATGCCCGGAATTGTTAATTTAGTTAAACAGTTCTCAAGTTGCCATTGAGTTTACGGTGACGCGCAGTAAAGTGGATTGAATGGAGTATTTTCAAAGAGCATCGTTTAATTAATCTTTGCATTTGTAGCCCATTAAAGTTCCTTCTAGAAGATACACAAGTCTTTCGAATATTGCTACAAAATATTAACTTACTTCATATTCTTTTATATGCTAAAAGTCTGTAAAGTATGTATAAATTGTGTTCACATGTTTTCCATACACATTTACATTACCCATCACTGCATATTACCCTTTAAATATTCCCTTGAGCTTAACGTAAGCCACTTCAATTACGTAAACGCTCGAACAAAATGGTTTCACTGCCCATTAAAAGTTGCGATTAATATGTAAACAATCATGGGCAATTGCTGGCAGGACTCCGTCCCTGGAAGTCCTTTCCCCAACTCGCCCCTCCCAGTTCCCCTGTGCTGTCAGCATAAAAATAACACATAATCATTTTATTAGCTCAAGGAGAACGATGCACTGAAGCATGGGAATCGTTACGCCGGATGGTCCATCCTGTTGCTACATCGTCGCTTCAGTGGAATCAACTCGACTCGACTCAACTGAACTCAACTCAACTCAGCGGAGCGAGTCAGTCGTTGTCCTGGCTGCTTGGTCCTTGGGTTAACATGTTGCATTAGGGCTCTGGCTCCAATCATGTGCCATGTGGGAGGGACTTTCGGGCCAGTGGAAGTTTTCTCGTTAGTGAAACTAATTATCCGTTGTCGCTGTCAGCAAATTTATCGTTAAACGTTAGGTGACAAGTTGAAGCCGAACGCATCTGTTTCCCCACCGAAAGTCCCTTCTCTCTGTCCGAATTCGAGGATGTGAGTCCTTTAAGAGGATGCCGGCTGACTGGCTGATTTGCTTTGCTTCGAGGACAAGATAAACAATGACTTTGTGTATTGCTACTTAGGCTATTAAATGATAATACATTTATTGGACAGGATTTCGATTTGCTAGATTCAGAAATGTGTGTGTTTACTCAAACTTCGACATGTGAAGAGCAGATTACAGGATGTTGTAGGAAATGTTATCCATTTAATCATTAAGAGATTATTTTCATAATAGAAGCGTTCTTTAGTGCTCCACCTTTCTATTTAAATTTTATTTTAATTGTTCTGACATATTTTTGTAATTATTACAGGATCCAATTTCTTTTTAATTGCCATTTGAATTCCTACTTTTCTTCTTTAATTTATTTTTCCTTCTCCTGCAGCTGATTAAATTACCATTAGGCAACGTGATGGCTTCTTTTTCACATTAAAAAACCGCAACTCACAAATGTTGTTCCGCTTTCCCCACTTAGCCTCCGTCCGGAGTTTCGTGCACCGGAAATGGTTGTCGATTTGCAACAAATGGCCTCCGGATGTTGCCACATGGCGCACGTGGAAGCTGCGAGCGGCAAAAAATTACAGTATTTTTGTAACTCTAACCCCTTTGGGCCATTAATTGCCTAGCACGTAATTATTTTGTAGTTAAAATGGGCGTGGTCGCCACACACACACAAACGCACAACACCCACACTGTTGCACAGGGAGTCATGCATAATTTGGATCCTGGAGTTTGCAGCTAATTAAAAGCGCGTTGCCTGCTGAAATTAGTCGCGCCATAAAAAGGATGGGTCGCACTTGCATAGGAAATTGGTGGAAATTTTCGGAAAGGGATAACGATGGAGGGAGGGGACAGTCACAGGTGGCAAGTTGTGACTTTTCAATTAGCGAACCGAAGGCAGAAGCGGATTCTGTAGCCTTTTGGTTGCCTAAAAACGATATCCCATAGTTAAACTACTTTTGTGTTTATCAAAGCTATAATTACCAGTGATTAAAAACACTGTATATACACTTAACCAAACAATTTCCATCAATTCATTTGTTGAATATTTACCCAACGCAAAGTCAACAGAATGCAAAAAGTAAACAACAGCTTTCGCTCACGTTTTGTTGGTTTTAATTTCATAATTATGGCATTTTTTATTTTCGCTTTTGTAATTGCTACATTGTAAATACGTATTCAATATCAATAATTACAATTACGCATAGACACACATACAAACGCCCTTAATTTCCATAATTTTTTGGGTGCGCTAAACAACATGCTAAATGAACTCGTGTTTACTGAAGGTTCTCAACCGAGATATCGGCACAAATCGATGGATATATCTATACTAAATTGCCTGCCTTTGCGCGCAGTTCATAAGTGCGAACCAAGGAAGGGAACAAAAGTGATTTTTTTGCTTTTCCTGGCCCGGAATTGAAGGATTTTTTCATATATGCCTTGGTGGTATTTTTAATGCGGTTCCTATTACTACCATGGATTATATATAGTAAGTAAGTATGTATGTAGGTATATGGGTAGTTAAACAACAACTAAATAATGGGCTGTGGCTGTGTGGGCTGCTACAATTATTACAGTTTAAATTACTATATGCACAATTTATTCACTTGTCGGTAACCCTTTATGTTTAAATATTATTTGTTATGTCTACTCATTTGTGTTCACATTTGCATAATTAGGTTGCATTATTCATATGATATTTATATGTTAGATTTATATATACGTACGTATGATTAACTACAGCTAGTGCGTTACAGTATGTACACTTACTGGATAAACATTCATGGGTGCCGAATCGATATCTGTCTGGACGCTAAGCCTAAGTCGAACCCCTTAAGTAACAAACATAATGATGCCCCATCGAACTATCTAATCGGGTGTCTATATCCTAAAGCTATCGCAGCGACTTGGCTCTCATCGTCTGCATACTTGGAGGAACTTATCATACTTTTTTTTTGTTAATTTACAGTGATCTTTGCTATAGCTAACCTTAGTCTACGGCGTAACGAAAGCGGTTTCCTTGTCGGAGATTTAGCGCGAGTTAGAGATGGATAGAGTAGGAGAGTAGGAGAAAAGGGTAATATGTCTATCACTAGCATAGTGCCGACTGCTCCAAATTCGCGGAGCTCGGCCTTTCTTCATCATAGAAACGAAACCTTGTAATACTAATCGAACTAAAAGTAATCCTCAGTCTTGGTCACCTTTTCAGTTTGTGACAAATGCAGCAAGGGAACAATCTTCATAATGGTTGTTCGTGGGTTTAAACTGAATGTTCAATTATAAAAAAAATAAGTTAACAAATTTATATCGATGTTTCATTTCATAGTGGTTTAAATGCTGGAAATATAATTCATTTCATTTTGGAGATATATTTTCGTAACTCTAAACACTTGTAATCAACACAGTTCCCTTGCTTTCTCTTGCATTCCTTCCTAGCTTTTTAATCAGTAACCGTTTAATCCCTTTACCTTAATCCTTTCCCTCAGCTCATCCCCCACCAAATCCATTCCCCTTCTACTCGAAGTTCTCCACTCCTCCGTTGTTGAAGCGCTCGCACCAGGCGAGCAGTTCCCTCACCTCGCGGGCGTAGAGCTGCTCCTGCGACTGCAGCTCACTCTGGGATTGGGATTGCGATTGGGACTTGGAAGAGGGCTGGCCCAGGGTGGAACCAGCGGGCAGGGGTCAGACATTGTGGCCAGCCGGCTGGCTGCTGGTGCCGCTGCCCGAGTTGCTCAACAAACTCCTTTCGCTGGCCACGCTGCCCGGCGCGTAGATGAGCTCATTGGGCTCCTTGCTGGACTCCGGAACTCCGTTCTTGCGACTGCCCCGGGTGCTCTGGTTGCGCCACGACTGCAGGTGGCCCTCCGAGGGGTGCTGGGGCACCAGCGGGATGAGCTGCGCCTGCTGCTGCGGCGGCTGCTGCTCGTCCACCTTCACGTAGAGGCGCTCCATGTCGTCCAGGTCGCCGTCCGCCGTGTGGTACAGTGCGTGCTCGTCCTCGTGCGACATCAGCATGGCCATCGGGGAGGGGGAGCCGCCGCAGCCGGAGTCCGCCAGCCCGTTGTAGCACAGCGAGGATCCGTCCAGATCCAGGAGGTTCTGCTGGGTCTGCTGGTTCTTGCCCTGGTCCGTGTTGAGCACCTTGAAGCGGGCACTGTCCCTTCCGATGCTGCAGTTCGGCGGCAACTGCTGCCGCCGCACGCTGGCGAACTGCGCGGTGATCGGCGAGGACTGCTTGCCCCCGGGAGCCGCCTCGTAGGTGTGACAGTTGCTCAGCTTGTTCTCGGTGATGTGGATGTGCCGCTGCTTGTCCTTGGGGTAGTAATACTGCTCGGAGTAGACGGAGCGCGGGGCTCCCGTGTTGCTCGGATATATCTCGCTGGTGGTGGACATCTGCTGATAGATGTTGCTCGGGGGCAGTTGCTGATGTTGCTGGTGTTGCTGCTGCTGCTGATGTTGCTGCTGCTGATGCTGCTGATGTTGCTGCTGTTGCTGCTGGTAGTGCGGGTGCATGGGGCGCTGGAGGCCGTAGCCGGGAACTGGTCGCTGTTGATAACGCGGCTGCTGCTGCTGCTGCTGCTGCTGGAGCTGCTGCTGGTGGGGGCTCAGAATCGAGGAGGTGGCATAGGGGGCGGGGGAGGAGTTGCCGTGCCGCCCGTACTCGCTGGGCGCCTTCCCAAAACTGGACACTTCCGCATAGTCGGTCGGGATGTTGGAGTACTCGCCCACGTACCTGCAAGCAGAGAGATAAAAGCAAACAGAGTTGAAACAAAAAGCACTCGGTTATAACTTGGCTTGTTTATTACAATATTGCTCTGACCCAGTGGCTCCGAAAAACCCGCCCACTTCGGTTATAAATTTGCGCAATTTATGGCGCGGCGGAAATTTGCATTTTCGTTACCGACTGCGGCTGCTGCGTGCTTTTCCGAGCGGAAAACACTCGAGTTTAGTTGGGATTTCCCAAACACACACACTCGCCAAAGATCAGGTGGCAAAATAACGCTAGAGACGGTTATCCTTACATCCATTAAATATATTACCGGCTTAAACAAAGGCTGAAATGCCGGGGATCCCCACAGAACATCCCCAATCCCAATCGCCATGCCACCAGTCGACCCCCTCATTCTCACATTTCTAGCATTATTTTCGCATTTAAATACTGGAATACGGAAAGCGGATTAACCTGGCGGGGGCCATCGCAGCCCAAAAAGGCGAAAAAACGATTTTAAAAGTCTGAAAAGCTTGTAAAAATATATGGCGCATTGATGGAGTTGAGTTGCCATGGCGAAGGGGATAAAGCCCGGCCACTCCACATAGAAGGCTTTTAATGCCCTTAATGAGTGGCGCCGTGGAATGAAAGTTGGTCCTGTTCACGGAATAGTAATGAGCTTGTCAAATGTCTGGCTCAACGGGGCAAAAAACATTTAAAATTATTAAACGAATTAATTATCATAAAGCTATTCGAGAACAGAATTTCAAGCTGTGGAATCTCTTTATAATAGTTTTCCTTCCTTTTTCGCAGAGTATTTTCCGCTTTGGTCAGCAAATAAACGAATTTTCCCCGGCACATATGACACTCATTATTGTGTGATTACTTTTATTGTTATGGTTATTATTTTGTTGCAGTTATTATTAATATTCGTGCTGCACTGCACACTCCTGGCGAGAAGGTGAAACCCATTTTCAATTTGCGTTTTAATGGCTAATTAAGTGTGCAAAAATAATTATAATTATCTGGGCTGCGTATTTATTTACAGTAGTCGCTTGAACAGGCACTGAATTTTTAAATTAAACATTTTTATTTTGCTTTCCCGATGCTTCACCCCTTTATTTTTAGTGTGACTCTTTGGCTTTTGATGCCTGATTGGCATTTAATTGCCATTTGTTGGACAGCAGCTGGGTTGGCACAAAAATAAATATATATTTTTTTCATTAAGTAGATTTCATCAAATTTTTTGGTTGAATTCCAGCAATACTAAAGGGATTACCCTTCAAGAGGCATTCAACTGAATGATTTTTTAATAACTCTGTGTTTATGAAATAGTGCTCCTTATTTTTTCTTGAAGCCTAAATTAAAATTTTTAAATTTCCTTAAATCGAAAACATGCAGTCATATTTTCACCACTCGAAATATTATTTGCTTAATTTGCGGCCAGTTCAGAATCAGCCGCAAATAAATAACAATTACAATTTTGTGCCAGGAACATTGTGGAAAACATTTTCAAGCCGAAACAATATTTTCACTGCCCCATTTGGTAAATTTTCTGCATTTGCCAGAGGCCAGACAAATAAATTAGATCGCCCCCGGTTAAAATGCCTACTACACGGATTCAACTTTGATTTGCAATCTACCGCAAAACTAATTGCAAATTCGTGGCCAAATTATGCATGGCATATTTTATTTCAGCCCTGAAACCTTCTGCCACTTTTTTTCGATCATTTAAAGCTGTTTTTAAAGTCGAGGCTCAGAGGTCTTAATAATTACATTGCTATTTTTTCGGTGCGAACTGAACTGGGCTTTGGCGAAAAATCAACATAAATAGCGTGGCCAACATTTCTATTCCTAACTTGATTTTCCCATTGGCCCGGGGGAGAATGAAAGAAAAACTCTTCCAAAAAGTGAGTTTTTTCGGTGTGTTTTTTATCCCATTTTTATTGCGGATGCTCCTTTTTTTGGTAGTCGCCGCGGCAGAAAAATGCAATTTCACAGTTTGGTGAATTTTTATTGTCGTCGCTTTGCGCGGCCAGGTTGTCGAACACTCTATCTTTGTAGGAGAATTTTCGGATTTCGGGTGTTCTTGGTTTATAGAGTTTCTTAATTGGACAAGGTTTATGATAAGGATTTTACTGGTTTAATTTGCTGGTGTTATTATTTGGTTTATTATTCCCTAAAGAGCATTCCTATTTCGTTGATATATTTAATAAACCCTATCTTCCCCTTTTTATTGTTGGATTGGTTTTTTTTTTCGTAGAGAAACTTACCGCTGCTGATTGCGTTCGCTGCCGTGTCCTCCGTGAATGTCATCGCCGCCGCTGGCACCGCTGCCCGCACCGCCTGACCCACCGGAACCGGCACCACCGCCGGCCGGGGAGCCGGGGGCACCACAGACCGGTGCATAGTCGGCGATGTGGTCCTTTTGCATCTCGAGCGAGTCGCCGCCGGGCGAGGGTCGCCACACCATTCCGCCGTTGGCCGAATCCAGCCAGTAACCATTTCCATTGCGAGTCGATAGACTCGGCATTTTGTGCACGTCGCCCGTGTGATTGCCTGCAGGTGAGAGGAGAGGGGAGGGGACCGTCAGTCAGAGCAATTAAATGTGGTGCAACAAATTGTGAGCCGAATAAATTGCTTTTCCCAAATTAAACAAAAACACACAAAAGAAACGCCTAGACAATTGGGTGTTCCCGTCAAGGATTTCGATGGGATTATATCAAAGGGAATTTGAAGGGGGTATTTAGGAAAAAACTTCTACCTTTACCTTTAAAATAATTTAAAATGTCAATCCACCAAAACAAGTGCCATTCCTCCTGAAACTTTAAAGCCCCCTGCTATAAATCGAAAGCATTAAAATAATATTATCCCCCGACTGCCAGCTACAAAATCAAATAAATTATTGTCAATTTTCCACTCGCATTGCCCGCTCACAAAACACAACAACTGCAGCACGGGGGCCGCATAAAAAATGCAACCAATTAAACTGTCCCCGGGTTATAACTGCGCATCAAGCGAGTGTTTTATAGCCCGCCACCTCCAGTCTGCCGCTCTGCCATATTTTTGTCTTTTTTCAGTTCGGTTCTCGGTTCGGTTCAGTTCAGCTGCAGGTGAATATTCTGATCTCCCTCTCTGCAGCTTAGTTTATGGTAAATGGCGCCCATGAATATGCAATTTTTTTCGCTCTTTTTCCGACCATTTGGATTTTTTGGCTTTGGCTTGTCTACGCCATTGTTGAGTGCTGAGTTCTGACAGCCAAATGCGTTGCTCCACTGCCACAGCCACTACCACTGCCAGCTTTAAATACTAAAGCTCTTCGTTTTGATATTATCACAAACTTATTCAACCCACTTTATTCCCCACTTAAAGCTGGCCAGCGCACAAATCTAAACCATTTCCCAGGGCCTCTTGACAACCGTTTAGCGAGGCCCTCTAAGCTGAAATGCCCAATTCCCCAGTCAACAGGCTACCATTTCCCGCTTTCCTTTTCCGCTCACCTCGTAATGCTGCTAATTTCAATTAGACCACAAGAGCAGCCCTCAACCCCCATCGTCCTATGCCTATATCTATCCCTATATACACTATATAAAGCGCTTCTTCCTGTTGGCCGGCTGACCAGCGCACACAACTTGTTGGTTAATAATGCACACAAAACTAAATGCATAATTGCAATGGCAGCCATTTGGGGTTGAGTCCGGGAATTCCAGGGGACGAGGGGTCAAGGGTCGAGGGAAGTCGGACTAGTGAACTAGGGGAAGTTGGCGTCACGTGCAAAATGTTAATTTCTATTATGTGTGGCATGCCAGTGTGCCGATGTGCCTGCTCCTGGGCTTCCCTGCGCGGCCTGCTAAAATATTTATTCGCACCTATTTTGGTTTTTCCTTTTTATCTGCGCCCCGATCCGCGTTCCCTGCTCCAGTTGTTTTTATTGTGTCCAACAATGGAGAATTAGCGTTATTTATATATGCAAATGTGTGTGTGGCGTGTCTGGCGAGGAAGGAAGCCAAAACTAGCAGCTCGCAACGGATGCAGAGCTCGAGGGCCAGAGTTGGATTTTAAAAGCGGCGCATGCATATGGATAGTAAAATAATAAAATCTTTACACACAAAATAAATTTGGTTCCTAAATATTTCATTCTAAATATTATTATCTTCCAATCAAAAGCAATCTTTACGGCTTCAATAAGTTTTAAACATATTTGGCGACCAACGGGTTTTCCTAATCCAATGTCCCTTTTTGGGCGCCAAATGAGAATAGTTTTTAATGTACTCACCACGCATGGTATTCAGTGCCGACTGCTTCATCATCATGTGCTTGCGCTTCACGAAGACCATTGCGCCGAAGGACAGCATAAGGATGGCCAGGATGGCGCCCAGGAGTATTATGAACCAGGGCTGTGTCAGCACATCGTTAACATGGTCCTGATTGATGGGATAGCTGAAACACCAAACCGAAATTATAAATAGAATGTATTCATACACTCCGAGGGAACCAAAAATAGACAAGTCTTAAAGGTCTTAAAGTCCAACTTACCGCTGATTGATGAACGGATCGAGCCGCTTGGTGATGGGATCCAAACGCAAAGTGGCTGGGACGCAATACGGACCGACTCCGGCATTATTTCCGGCTGCCACGCCCACCGTGTACATGACGCCTTCGGTGAGGTTGGCCAAGACCAAAGTGGGCGAAGCAGCATCGATGGTCACATTTGTCAGGATTCGTGAGAAATTATGAGCAGTGTCAATGCCTCGCACTATAACGTGATAGTTCAGGAGAATGCCTGAAAGTATATGAATAGTAAAACATATATTACATTAACTTTTTTATGCCTTTTGAAATTATTTTGCCACTGCTTTATGGCTCAACTCGGTTACTTACCATGCCGATCCTTAAGTTCCGGTGCCTTCCATTTCAGGAACACCGCCGAGGAATTAAGCAGCAGAGCCTCCATTCCATATGGCGCCTCATTGGGAACTGGAACGGAAAACGCATTTCGGGTTAGATTTAAATTGGAGCTTGGCCGGAGATTGAGGAGCAGAGTTAAATGGCTTTTTGATTGTGGTGCGTGATGTCACCCAGCTGACGTCCGCTCTAATGAGATTTGGTGGCCGTAATTAATTAGCATTTAGTGTGTGGGATCGGGTTCCGGTGGGAGAGTGGAAGTGGCTGCACAACTAGTTCCGGGTGTTCTGGCTTCAAGGGTTTCCCGACCATTGCACTTCCCAGACACATCCTGCCTGCACATCGAGTGCGTGCAAAAAAGGAAGCAGTTGAAAGGCAGCAAACGAATCCTTTCCTTTCTCCCAGTTGCAGCTCACTTCACACACATACAGCTCATCTTCATTTGTTTATTTATTTCCTGCTGTCGCTTTTACAAGTGGTTACACTGGCAAAAACTTTCAGCAGACAAATAATATAAGCATAATGAATTTACCAAAATTTTAATTAATGCTTGAATTTGTAAAGGGAACCTGGTTTTAATTTACAATCAGTATACTTGATTCGTAAATATTTTATGATTTAGATTGAACATTTCCCCGTGTACATCCCACATCCCCTGCAGACTTTCTCCCACCCCTTTCTTCTTTCTCCTGCGTTTTTGTATCTTTTTGTGTGTGCGGCTGAGCGAAGCAATTTCTTTAAATAAACACACACGTGCAAAATTCTCAACGAGACAAAAGTGGGAGACCGGGAAAACAAAGCGGAGAAAGAGGGAAATCTCTAAATAGGCAACGTCTAGCGGAGTGTGAAGTGGAGTGCAGTTGTTCTTCTGTCTTCTGTCTTTTTTTGGCTTTGTTGTTACCCAGCTCGCTGAATTTTCCCCCTTTCCCCGGGGACATTGCGACATGCTAAAGTGCTTGTCGTGCTTTTGTCTATGCGGGTGTTTTATTTTCATTCTGTACCCCTACTTTGCTTTCTTCCTGGTGCTTTCTGCCATTTCGCCTTTCTTCCGCTGATGAGGCACCGCGATGCTTAACACGTAGCTGCCATTGTGTGGCATAAATGACCCCCGGCACACGAGATTCGACAATTGTCTCAGACACTGGCAGGCAATTGAAAAACTCCAAATTGCCACTCTGATCGCTCCGAATTGCAGCTGCAACCGAAGGCAGCTTATCTAAATGTTCAAGTCGAGAGTGGAGCTATTCGATGGTCTTTGCGAAAAAGTGACTCATCTGGTTTTCGGGGGTTAATTCGATGGTGCAAATGTGACTCAGGTTGGGTTGCATGTGACTGATGGCTAAGTGACCGCTCCTTATTTGCGATTTATGTGTCGCTTTCTAAGACAGCAAGGGGAAAATTTATAGGAACTCAAAGTAAAATAATTTTCTCCAGCTGAGGAAACTCCTTAAAAAATAACATAGAATATTGCCAATGATAATCATCCTTGAAATTTGGTAAAATATATTACAAATTAAACAGTTTCTATAACAATTGAAATGTAGAGCATTCTGTAGTTCCCAAACCCCTGTCTAAAGTTTAATTTTAACCTCCTTTTGCTACCCTCTAATGTTTACCCAGTGGAGCACACCTTTATTTGCCGACTTCCGACGCGAGTAAAAATGTTTCCTGTTGCGGGCGGGAAAAAGGAGACCCCGCCCTTTAAACCCGGCTAAGCAAACGCGCATAAAATTTGCATTGCCAGCACGGCAACTGCACATTTTTGTGGCCCACTGTGAAAGGCCGGGAAATACTGGCTACAGATGCAGCTGCAGAGTGCTTCATATAGCAGCAATAATTGTTGTTTATCTTTACACAATTGCGTTGGCAATTTCTTTGGGCTGAGCTCCCGTTTTTGTTGTCCTCGGCGAGACTCAGACGAAACGCTCGAGCGAAAATGTGATGCATGCGAAATGAGTTTTGATTTGATGACAGCGGGGAGAAAGGGGAGTTGAGTCCTTGGAGCAGGTGGCTCAGGATTTTCAGAGAGATTTGGCTCTGCTGCGCGGCGTTTGTGCATTTTATATTGCTGCGGTTGCTGCTGTTTGTTGACTTATTTGCGGCACTGTTGGAGGTCTCCTTGTGTTTCTCGTTGCCACATTGCCTTTGCCTGCCTGGCTTTTGTTTTTTTTAATTATTTTCCCTTTAATTTTTCTCCTCTTTGAGAATCGTTCACTTTTCGTTGCACTTTCGGTGCCGTCGGAAGTTTTTATATCTGCACAGCTTTGCTGGCGATGAAATGAAGTGATAAACCTGTCTGGAAAGTTTCCTTTGCCCGTTGAGTTTGCATTTTTCTTGGCCACCAAGTTCGCTGGCGCTTGAAACAATCTTATCTGACATATTCCCCAACTGTCAATGGTGTTATTTCTGGGTATCCTAATCCGCTGGATAAACTGCAGAGAATCCTTTGAGCCAAACCAAAAGTACCCCCTTGGATATGGCACATGTAAATCGCCGACATCAAGTATTCCGCACACAAACCGCATTTGATTCGAGACTCTTTTTGATTCCCCAACTGGAAGAGCAGAGCTCCACCCCTTGAGCAATTGTTTTCCACGTGGATTCGACATCCCTACCTTGCTCGGATATCTAACATTGTTTGGCATTTACGTACGCATGATTTGCTTTTTGTCGGCGCTCAGTGATTGACATACTTTCCATTATTCCCCCATACAACATGGCCTCCTAAAAAAAAATGTAACCAATAAACCTACCGAGCTGCCTACGCCCTTTTTTTTGGGTTGTGCGATTCTGGTAAAAATAATTTGCGATTATGTGACCCGCATTGAGCGCAGCTGATGTCCGTCAAGGATAAAGGCTGCCTCCCTTTCCCTCCATCGCTCATATCCTTTTATTGAATTTGGGTTATTGTTGCAATGCAAAAAGTGCTTGGTAACCCGCCTTCTGCATTTGTCACATGGTGTTCGGAGACCTTGGGGTTGGAGGATTTCCTCCTGGCTCAGACTCACGGGGGTAGTTTCCTGTAAAGGTATTTTTACGGTTTGCTGGATTGCGCTGGATTCGATGCACATGCTTCATTAGATCGGGCGGGGAAAGTCCCGGGAAAACAGTGCAGACAATCGGAGGCAAATCCTGAGTGACAGTATGAAAAAACAATCCAAAAAGCTGGAAATTGAATTTACTAAAGCCGACTGCAAAGATAGCAATCTACGAAAAACTGAACTGTAAATTAAAAATAAATTATAAAGAGTTGATTAAAGTCGATAAGTAAATCAATTTCAATCAAATAGTTGGACAAAATAATTGACTGAAGTTCAACCATTTTTGAAAACTGAGTTATATTGCTAATCGCGAAATTCTCCCTGCATAAACCACCCTAACCAGTTTTACTGTTCTTGTTCCCCCATTCAAATATCCCATATCAAAGGAGCTAATAGCTCTGCCAAAGAACCCTCCCTTTGTATCCCTTAAAAATTACTCGACTCACCATCTTCGAGGGTGCGGGCGATGCGCGAATTCGACGGCTTGCCCTCGACGGACTTGTAGAAGGGCACGATGAAAAATTCATACAGCGTGTACTGGACGAGACCGGTGATGGTGCAGGATGAGGCACCTCCTCCATTCAGAATCGTCAGCATGCGGTACTTGGTGCTCAGCTGGGAGGAGGACGGTGCTCCTGCTCCTCCGTTCTGGTTCTGGTTGGTCTCCCCATCACGTTTGCCGGCAGCGGCAATATTTGGCTTCGTTGAAATCAATGCGGATGCGGATGCCGAGGCGGATGCGGAGCCCAGCAGCGGATTCGAGTTGGCCGACACGGGCGAGGGATTGTTGACTATTGGATTTGGCAACTGTCTCGCATAGACATAGAAGCCCTCGACGTATTTGCCGTTGATGATCTGCATGCAGAAAAAGGGGAAACCGAATGAGGTGACGATGGTTATAGAAGGGGAAGGGCAGTCAAAAGAGTTCTCGATTACATACCTGCCAGGTGAGCTTCATGCTGGTGGAGTCCACCACACTGGCGTTGCTCAGCTCCACAACATCCCCGGACAGCAGACTGGCACGAGCCTCGCTCAGGTCCAGACCACTGTTGAAGTACCTCTGCAAGGGTTTTAATAATTAAGCGTTAATAAAGGAGAAGCTTGAAGCAAAAAGTATTGTTTTCGGAACTCACCGTTCCCACCGTAATGGGTTCCGACATCGGACTGGGCAGCGATAAGCCGTGCGAGTTCTCGGCCCGAATTAGGAAGAAGTAATTCACACCCGGCAGCAATCCGGTTTGGGTAAACGTTGTGTTCTGCACCCGGCTGCCCACGGGCACCCAGCCGTCGGTCTCGTTCTTGCCGAACATCTCGATTACGTAGCCCACCAGGCTGGAGCCACCCACCTTGTTGCTCCTCGTCCACGAGAGCGTCACGGAGTTCTCGCCCTTCTCCACGGTTTGTGGTTTGCCCGGCGGTCCCGGGTAGGTGGAGAGCTCCGCAGCCCGGAAGAACTTTATGTTCGGATTGGTCGGGGTGTCCAAGCGAAGGTAGCCACTCCACGAGGACTTCCCGTTGCGATTGCTGGCCACGCAGGTGTAGAGGCCCTCGTCCTCGTGCCGCTGCAGATCCGAGATGGTCAGAGCTCCCGACTCCGAAAGATTCCTGCGTTCGTGCTCCTGCACGTCGATGGGAATCCCATCTAAGTACCACGAAATCTGGGGCACCGGAGTTCCCAGCGTTCGACAAGGCAGCACCACAATGGATTTAACGGGCAGAGTCTGGTTCACCGGACCCTGTTCGATAATCGGCGGCGGCAACTCGAACTGCGTGTCCACGCTGACCACCGTGCGACTGCTCACACTGCCCACGGCATTCAAAGCATTGCAGGTGACCACCTTGCCGGAATCCTCGCGAGCGAAGCGAGCTATCGAGAGCACCGAGCGACCCTCGGGCGTGAGGGTCACCTCCATGCGCCCGTCCCGGTAGCCGGGGAGCAGCAGGGAGCTGTTGCCCTCCACCGACCAGTAGAGGGTGGGTCGGGGATGCCCGTTGGCCTGGCACTCGAACAGCACTTCATCACCGATCTCCACCAGTTGATTTTTGGGGCGTATCACAAATTTAGGGGGTGCTAAAACAGGAAAGAACGGGGATTTGAGCACTCAGAGAAAAAGGAGTTTTTTAAAGGAAATAAATAGATAATATTTTAGAAATATTTTTGAAGCAGTAAATAACTTAGTATTACAACTGCAATATTCCAAAATCAAATATATGGCGCCCAACGTTTTTTAGAGTGCACTTTTCGAGCTTCTGCCGCTTCTTGCTGGCAATTAACTTACCGTGAACGGTGAGGATGCCCGTGGCCGTGATGCCGCCCACCGCATTGTCCGCCTCGCAACTGTACTCGCCCATGTCCTCCAGAGTGACGTCGTCCAGCTTCAGACTGCGGTCCTCAAGTACGTGCACACGACCTGTCGAAGGAAATGGAGAAAATCGGGGAAATGAATCTCATGTGTGTGTGGGAGGCTGGGGGGCTCCGGCCCAGAGCCATTCGAAAGAAAAACAAACTTTCCGGCTGTCTGTCTCCCTGCCTCTGTTGCCACTACCTCTGCTTCTACTTCGTTAGTAGTTCAAGTGGCGGAAAAATGGCCAAGTCGCATTCTCCGCTGCCGGAGAACCAAATAACCGCAGCAAAGTAAGCCAAGACAAGATACGACTGACTAGAAGCCCTCTGTTCCTCCCGGGAGAAGCACCTTTTGTGGTTTTTCCCGTACAATAAACAGAGGGAAAGACAAAGGTTTTCGGGGGACGAGTCTGGCTCTGCTTTCTTTTTGGTCGGTTGACTGCGAAATGGGTTTTAAATGTGGGTGCAGTCAGCTCACCTTCTCTGTTTCTCGCCACTGTGCCAATTGTTTGCTTAACAAAAGTTTAGGACAACAACCGAGGAGCTGCCGTGTCCCCTGCTCGGAATCTTTTCAGTTACTATTTTCTTTGAGGTCTTTAAAGAAGCGTAAACTAGCTGGAGAAAACTCCAGAGGGGATGAACGGGGGTGGGGGGAGGGTTTTTCCCCCCCACGAGGGGTTAGTTGCACTGCCCTTCGGGTTGGCAACTGACTCCGTCTGAAGGACAACATTGCAACAGTCGAGTGTTGTGCAAGCAAAATTGTTGATTGCTGCCAACAGAGATTGGCAATTAACGGAATTAAAAGTTACAGTTGTGTTTGCCCAGCTAGGGCTAAAGGGGGCGTGTCCGAGGGTTGTCTCAGGGGGTGAGGGGGTGGGGGTGGCTACCCTGGGTCGAAACCGCACCACCCAGACCGTGAACCCAAACTAACAACAGCAAACGAAATTGGAGGGGAGCAGTGTTGTCATAGAGGTGTTTTTGGCACTGGCAAAAAAAGTAGTTTCATTTGAAATATATTTCTTGTAAATAAAGTGTTCACAGAATTCATCTGCTTTAATTGAATTTTAATTTAAACGAAAAGCTAACTTGTTGCAAATAAACCAAATTGGTTGAATATTTTTACAGTGCATTCCGTAAACACTGCCAATTGGCAACACGAAAAGCCACAGGCCAAAGCAACCGCATAAACTAACTTTTTGTTTTCTACTATTTTTTTTGTGCTTTCACCACAGTGTGTGTGTGTGTGAAACAAACCCTCGACTCTACTTGAGCAATGGGTAAACAAAAAAGCTTTAATTTCATTTGAAATTGCGGCCTGGGTATGTGTGAGTAACTGGCCCAGTAAGAGGGCCACTGGCAACATGGCTGCCCGAGCATTTCCGGTTAATTGAAGCTGAATGAAGCCAAGAAAACTTACGCAGTGGCATATTGCCGCCGGAGGCAGTGCGTCGCCACAGGACGTCGGGCAGGGGATCGCCTCCGATGCGGCACTGGAAGACCACCGAGCTGCCCACGACAGCCGTCTGATTCTGGGGTCCTCGGATGAGGAAGGGGCGAACTGCAAAGTAAAGAAATGTCAGGAGAGTAAGTTTAAGTGGAGATAACATTGATAGGATAAATTAAAGAACCAACTCCACTATTCAAATGAAAGTGCTACCTTTGCTGGTTTGTTTCTCAGGTATTTCAAATACAAACATTTACTCACCATGAACCTTCAGGAAGGCAGTGGCTGACTCCCTGGTGCCGACCACATTCTTCACCACACACTGGTACCTTCCATCATCCGATTGCCGGGCCTCTTGGATGGCCAGGTTGCCGCCGTCGACGATGCGGATCCGCTTGTTGTTGGCCAGATTGAGGGTCTGTCCATTCTTGCGCCACGAGATCTGCGGCTCCGGAGATCCTCGGGGGGCGCCGCACTCCATCAGGGCCACTTCGCCTTGGGCCACGCGGGTATTGGCCGGCTCCAAGCGAAATTCGTCGCGGAGAACTGAGAACGGTGGTGGGGAAAAGGACGGACGGTGAGTAAGAGCTTTGATTGATTCAATATTAATAACTGTCAGGTGAACTGGCAACGTCCACTTTGCCCGGCTGCAGCCATGTAGCCATAGCCATAGTCGTCCATATTTTATAAGCCAGAGGACCGAGGACCTTCCCACCTTCGTCTCCACCTCAATATGCCAATAAAAGCTTGGTAATGATGCCCGGGCTTCAGGTTTACGGCTTTGAGCGGACGGACGGACGGACGGACAACTCTCGCTCGCAAACAGCCAACGGAAATATTAATAAGCTTTGGCATTTGCAATGCTTATTTTTATTTATTCGCCCGCGCGTCTTCTTCGCCCGCTTTTTTATCGGGCGAAAATGCAAAAACGGTTGGAGTGTACAAAATGTAAAATGCGAAATGCAAAATGCACTCCAATAAACGCATAATGCGCTCCACTGAACGCCAAAGGCACTCGGATAAAACACACCAGCGATGGCGATGGCGATGGCTTCTCCTGGCCAACTCGGCGTAAGTGGGATAGCGTGCCGGCAAATGGTCAAGTTTTTATGGCTTAAAGCGCGGCTGAAATCGGAATCCTTTTATGGTTTGCCGGATTAATTAATGCCGGCCGCCGCAAATCTTTTCCGGCTCTCATGAGCTGGCTATCGATTACGCGGCACAAAGATGCTTGCCATTTCTCCTCGTTTTATTTTGTTAATTAGAAAGCACGGTGCGGAAATCAAGAACTCTGTTGAGGGGGAACCGAAATGCAGCTGCCCGTTTTGGGGTAAATTTCATGAAATGCAACCCCCAATTAGGCGAACATTTTGCCTGGATTTAAAGCCCGATCAATCAATGTCGTTTGCGAGGTTTATTTTTCTGGCATTGCAGTTTAAAAGTAACTGGTAAACTAGTAATAAAATTACAAAAATTAAATTGAATAAAACCGCTCTTGTTTAACCAAAATTATGGGAATTACTTTAACTATGAAGCACCCATCAATTAAAATAAAACATGGTGAAGTGATGTTTTCAGTTACGCGCTGATCAAATATTCAAGCGATTAGTGTAACCGAAATTGGCGCATTTTTACTTACATGCCACTTGCAACGTTGCATTCCGGGAGCGGGCCACACCAAACTCGTTTTTGGCCTGGCACCAGTAAGTGCCCGCATCGCTCTCCCTCCGTGAGTGGATGACCTGCGGGAAAACCAGGGGAAAACAGAGATTATTAGACGACCGGGTTAGGAGATTTAAGTAGTTTTGGGGCAGCTTAGGCCGGGTCACGTGTCAGATCAAAAAGTCTCAGATCCGCTCATCCGAAATCAAATAAAAGTGAAACGTGCCGTGGCCCATTGTCCCTCTCTTCTGCTCGATGTTGTCCAGTCTGCGTATACGCAATTTAATTTAATTAAAAAATACATTCTGCCCAAGGGGTAGCATCCTCCCCACGAGTTGAGTCGAGTCTGTTGGGCCTTAATCACTCGGCCACTTCAATTTTAATTGGCAACAAACCGAATCTCCCTTCGGATGAGGTTGGACTTACCCCAAAAAAAAATTACAAATTGCTGGAGAAATTGTTATGGACAATAATAAAAGTAAATTGTTGAACTTGAGCTTTGCCGCGAGGCTCAACTTGAAAATTTGTGTGGAATCATTCGAGAGTGTCTGGCTGTCGGCACTAGATAATACATCCACGCTGCTTTTGCGCATTTGTTTTTTTAATATTTGAATTTAAACTTAACCGAAATTTAAGACCCACTGAGCCATTAATAATCTGCGGAAAAACAATAACAACGCAGTGAATTTGTTGCATTTAATGAAAATAACTGGGCGAAAAGGGGAAAAAAGAGTAGGAATTTAATATAAACAGAGTCCGAGGAAATTGCAATGTCTGATGGGAGCGACAGACAGACGACCGACGAGTTTGGGGATTTCGAGGAGTCTCGTTAGCTGAAATTGCGCAATGTGCACGCACGAAATGATATAGGGGTTGTAACTTGGGGCTCTAACCCCAACGAACGACATCTTTTGTTTGTTCATCAGGTTGTTTTCCCTATCAACTAAAATGCAACCAGACGGAAGCCCATAAAATAATATGGGCACGCCGAAAAAAAAAGGAAGACGAGGAACAGAAGAGTTGCTTATGCACAAATGTTGCGTTTCACATGAGGCCAAAAGGAGTAGAGTAGAAAACTCAGCCTGAGAACCCAAATAAAGGTACAACCCCTTCGTTCCTCCTCCTCATCGACAGCTGTAAAAGCCATGATAATGATAGAGCCGATTCGAAATGAGTTGATTGGTTATGATGTGTACCTTGAGAAAGAATAAACCACCGGCGGGCAGCATTATGCGATGCGAACCCGTATCCGTCTTCAGTTCGCGGCCGTCCTTAAACCACTGGATGGTTGGTGTTGGATTGCCCTCGGCCTGGCAATTAAACGTGAATGGATCATTTTTTGGCACCGTCGTGTCCATGGGATGCTCGATGATTCGTGGATTTTCACCTGGAACGGAAAAAAGGCGAGGATTGTATTATTTCTTTTGTTCCTTTTTTGTGGGAGATGTGTAACCCTAAACTGCGGAGGCCACTTGAGTGCGTGTTGTATTTCATTTTGAGCGGAGGTTAAGGATCTTCCCAACCCACGAACACAACATTGCAGAGATCATCTCTGGGGACTTCCCCCGAAAGAAACTCATCTTTGACGGCTAAACAAGTTTTGTCACTTAATGCAGCGGCAATTAAGAGGCCATTAAGCGGACTGGCGGGACCCCCTTGGTAGGGAAATCCAGGCTGAAATTAAGTTACGTTAAGCAGCAACGAAATTTCACTTGAGGCTGCTGCGCTCCTCTCGAATTCAATTAACTTCATGAAAATATTTGCCCGCCCACGGCCTCGCGCACAAAGGACCCACCGACTAAACATAAATTTGTGCATGTCGATAAGGATGAGACAAAGGACATCGCTAGATAAACTTTATTAAAAGCAGCGCAGAATACAGTTGGCACCGACCGAACGAACAGTTGGGAAACAGCTGAAATGTAATTACGAAAAGCGCTTAAAGGTGAAAAATGTGTGTGTTTGCGGAAAAGTGAGGGGAGGGGCGGGGAGAAAGAAGCCAGAAGGGCGATGTAAATCCCTGGACAGAGGTGGAATGCCTTTGGTTGGTAACATCATTCAGCCGGAAATTAAGTTTTCCAGATTTATTGAAAGCGGATAGTAATGAGAGCTTGCAGCGCAGCAGAGGTGCGGGAAAACCAGAGCAAATACGAATAGAGATGGTCGGGTATCACTGTTGCAAAATCGGGAATAAATCACAGGATGCAGGGAGTCCGAATTTCGAGGGTAGCATGTGGGTATATTGGTGAACATTTCAACTCAACAAAATGAATATCTAATGTACTTCCCTACCTAAACCGAAAACCTTTCTGTTCTAATCCTATTCCATCTCCTATTTCATTAAGCCCTTCAAAAGTAACAAGATCTGCTCGCAATTCGACACCCGAGGCGTGACCTTTGAACCTTCGGCAGCGCCAATATGCAAATCGAAGACCATCGTGACACCGTTATCACCCTGAGAAATCACTGAATCAGCATCCAGTGATTTCTATTTCTATTTCGAGCCAGCAGCAGATGAACGATGGCATTTGTCAAATGTGTTTCGGCAAAAAAGAAGGGGAAATAGAAGGACTGCACCTTGGACATTTGTCAATTGCTGTTGTACTGTTGTACTGTTGTACTTGCCTTTTGATGTTGCTCTCGTTGTAGTTGTTGCTACTCTTGTGATTGCCACCAGAACAGCAGCCTTTTGTTGTATTTGCAAAGGGGGCGGAACAAAGGGGGTAGTGAGCTTTGAGCCATTGTCTGATTTTGGCCATGTCCGAAGGCATTGTGCCTGGCCCTTTGTTTCCCTGAACCCGTGTTGCCATGGCTACACTCCTGTGTGTGCTAATTTAAATGATGAAATATACCCGAATAGTTCTGTCATGCCAACGCACTGCCACTGCTTATTAAAAACGCACCGCACAGTCCACATGTTTTTTGCTTTCTCCGCTGAAAACACCTGCCAGAAGAATCTTTGCCGACAAACGAAATATTTAATTAAGCAAAAATCTGCTGCTGGTGAATAAATATTTCATTATTTTTTGTTATCCCACCGAAAGCAAACGAAACCACACAGAAGAGCAAAGCGAAAGGGAGACAGTGCTTCGATAAGCTAGCCAGAAGAAAAAGCCAAAAGGAAAAATCAGGTAAAATGTATAAGCTTTCCAGCAGGAATTTTCCACACGCACAAACTCTGCGGCAGTTGTTAAATAAAGAGTTGAAGTTTTTCATAACAATATGTAAAAATGTGAAAACCGAGAAAAAATGGCAGCAGAAAAACTTTGACAGCCCTAAAGAACTATAAGTGGGATGCAGTTTGAATTATCCACTCTGGTTATATGACGCTAAGTAAGGTGATTTGATTCTAATACATTCTTCATTTATTCATTTCGTTATTTAGTTGATTTTAATATTATTATTTAATTTCACCCGTTAAAATGTGTTTTAAATATTTCCCAAAAATCTGTGCAACCAAATTCGCTTCAATTTCCCAGCTTGCACCGCACATTTTCCCATTTCTCCTCGGCACTTAATTACGCTCATTTGGCATATATGCTCTCCATTTGTTTGGTGTGTGTGTGTGTGCGGGTGAAAGTGTGTGTGTTTGTGTGGGTGGCATGGAAATTTATGCATGCATACACCGTGAGCAAAGAACTCCGGAGAGAAATGTAAAAGAAGTTTTGGGTAAATAAACAGCAACAGCAACAGGAACAGAGGCAAAAAGTGCTGCCGGCGATGAAATCATGCAAGCATGCACCTAAGCAAACAATCGCGTTCGCATTTGGGGGCCAGAAAGAGACAGTCGCCCTGCCGTAGAAAGAGATAGGTAGTCCGGGGGAGAGAGAGAGAGAGAGACAGCGATAGGGGGTCTGGAGAACGCATAATGCGCCACTAACGTGTTGGGGAGTTTTGCGGGCTGCTGCCGCAAACACCAACAATAATAACAGGAAATGCATTTCGTATAGTCGCTGTTAAGAAATCGCCTGGCTGCTGGGGAGTATAGTATGTTATCTTAGCTTATGTTGTTGTTCTCCCCGATGTTGTTTTTGTTTGCTGCCGTTTTTGTCTGTTTGTCCAACATAAGCATAAAAGAAATTGTGTAGCCCGGGAGCAACATGAGGACATGAGTAGCTATCACTCGACTGAGATTTACTTAGTTCACGGCCCTTGATTTCGCAAGAAATCTTTTTGTATCTTGATCAAATTTGGAAGGTGGGTAGATTAAGGTTTTAGGAGAGTGCATCCCAAAAATCTTGTTGATATCTTCAAGCCTTCAAGGTGTACCTAACTCAAATCTGCTCTTATGAGTCAAAAGCTATTATAAAGAAACATTGTTAATAGAAATAATATCCCCCTCCTGCAGGGTATCAAAACACAAGAAGCATTTACAACTGCAACTACATCTTGAGCTGCTGTTTGATGCTGTTGCATTTCTGCTAATTTGCTGTTGCCCCGTTGTTTGACTTTCGGCCAGTAGGTGCTAAAAGAGACTCCAGACTCCGGGGGTTCTCAAGCATCTTATGCCAATATGCATCATTATTAGCATGTCAACAACATAAACGCAAACACACACACACAAGATGACAACAAAAATCACAACTTTCCCAACTGACGGCAACATTAAACGTGTATACAGGCAGCTGCTCAAAATGCATATGCAAATAACCTGGCCAGCCATTTCCCATCCTCTTTTTCGCCCACAAGACAGACTTTTAATCAAACAGGGAATAGCCGCAAAATTAGGGAGGCGAGGTGGCCAGAAAACAGGTGAAGTTGTTGGGAGCAGCCTGCCGGAAAACCATCATCTTAGCTACATTTGTACATGTGTTAGGTAATTGAAGACGAGCGTACATTTAAGCTTGTACTACTGTTTTAAGTAGTTAATAAAGTTTATTTTAAAAGCCAAAAATAGATCCTTAAACAGCTTTATTTATATGCATTTTTATCTCCTTGAAATTTAAAATTTCTATTATTTAAATTGTTTGATTCTCTGAACTTTATTTATCCCTCTGCCGAAAGTAAAAGTTTTTTTTTCGCTGCTGGTCTCACAAATCACAGAATGTCAAACCGTGGCAGCTTGAGTACTGCAACCATTTTCGTTTTTTCTCTTTCCATTTCTATTTTAGCACATTTTAAAAATGGGAAAAAGCGACAGGTTGGAAAGTCCTTGATGCGAACTGTGACGTCAGGCGAGGAGGGTCTGTTAAAAAATTAACTGAGCTACAGCTAGACTTGTTCCTGTTTTAGTGCCATTTTGATTTCGTTGTTCGCTGTCCCGTATATACACCAAAAATAAAAATAGTGGATTGTTTTTTCACTTTGAGTAATGATTAAGAAATATATTTTTTTGGCTTAATTTTTATCAAGAAATTTGCAAGTGGTAAGAGAAAACTTAAATGTGAGAATCTGTCTGCTGTTCAATAGAAATTTCAAATGACTTCAATTTTTTCGGTGTACCTTTCTTTTCCAATATTGTTGTCGTTTCTTTATTGTTTTTGCATTGGCTCAGCAACAAACTGAACAATAATTTATAAGCTTTTAGTGCAACGCGACTTCTCAGGCAACAACAATAGCAAAAGCAAAGTTTTTGATTTGCCGCCAGCTGATGGAGGTTGGCTGTGTTGTTGCTGCTTCAACTTTTTGCTACCATTTATTTATTTATGCTGAAATGTTTAATTTTTAATGGGCATGCAACTCGCCGGGCAACCCAAACGGAATGGGGTATCCTTTTCGTTGGGGCTTCTAAAAGCTTGAGGAGTTCGTAAGCCTTTTGCACAACTTTTGCCACTTAAGCTTTTGTGCAAGTAAATGGGGAACAAGAGTTGGTGTTCGTATATTTCCGCATGTGAGTGCTTCTGATTTCTGTTTGCCGACTTGTTTTTTGTAAAGCCAAATAAGCAAAGAGGATTATAATTTAACACACGCTTTTTTGCATAAAGGAAAGAAATTTACTAAAGTCAGGTTCAACTTCTACACTTCAATTGAAGGATGGGTTTGACTTACTGCCAGATATTAATTTTCTTTAACGAAATCTAGAGAATTTCCAAGTCGGCACATTTAGTATTATTTTCACAAGGCAGTGTTTCAGGAAATTTTTTACGCATTGTTTTTTGTTTTTATTTGTTTGCTTTTGTATTTGCGCGCCTTGTGTTTGCTCTTCTGCATCTTCGCCTTCTGGTTATTGTTGTTTTCTGTTTGCTTAGACGGTCGGGAGGAAAAACAAGAGGGGGAAATAAGGCTAAGGGGATTCAGAACAACAACATCCTGGAGCGGAAGCCGCCCGGTTGCCAATTATTTAAATGCTGGTATTTACCTACCAACACGGCGGATGTGGGCCAACTCACGGAAAAGAAAGGAGAATGGTTCGCTGGTTCTCGAAAGCCGACTTCTGCCAGCATAAAT